AATGGCCTAAAGCATGTGCCTTTGAAGCGCTCAGCCGAATACAAACTGAGCTGGGTATGTGAATGGGTACCCACGGCTCGAGGGCTAAGCAGAGCCCCGGAATATGCTTATATGCTCATATCCTCCTGCTCCTTTGAAATGCTCAGACATGCTTTTAATTTTGCGCATTAAGCGTAGTTAATCCTTAAACGCCCCTGAAACGCGGATGCATATGCAAACGGACGGACGCGTTCAGGTTAAGGGTTCTGAGTTCTGGGGAGGGAGGAGGTTCTATCCTCAGGGTTGTCATTAACAGAGTTCGTCGCGCAACAGCTCACTTAATGTCATGTTGCATTAAATGATTGTCTCTCGGCTTTACTTTAAATACATTTTTATATGGCTATGACCGCTTAGTAGCCAACACCTCACCCCCGCAACAGGCACACCCACCCCCTTTAACCAAAAACCAAGCCTTATATCGTATTCAGCGAAATGCGACGTGACATGAAAATTGCATTTGTCTGTCTACGGTTTTTGCACTCTCCGTCTCTCTCTCTCTCTCTCTCTCTCTCTCTAGCTCTCTCTATCCCAATCCACTGTCTGGCGTTTTTAGGGTGACCATATGCTTGGGTATTCTGCTTCTTTTTTTTCCTCAGCATTTGTCGCCCCTTTCGCCTTGCGCCTTTTGTCTATTTATGCATTTCACCGCGAAATAGGATTAAACGCTTATGTAAAGGACCCAATCAAAGTTGCCCAGTTGCGCACACCTTGTGTGACGTCTAAATACATATATATCGCACTGTAGCACATATGCCCCGGTTCCCGTAGTGCCCAGCCCAGCCCGCAAATCCGATTTTCAAATCCTATCAGCGACTCTCCTGCCGTTGGAAGCTCACCGAAAAGTTTGTCGCATTCTGAGGGGTCGCAAAAAATTCCATTTTCAATTTGGGAATTTCTTTCGCAAGTAGTTTATTTTTTTCTCGGTATGGGGGGATTGAGCTCTGCGAAAATCGTTGCATACTTGTTGGCGTCTCTTAAGCTTCATAATATGCCTCCCTCGCCAAAAAAGCAACTTGACCAGTTTTACGCCTTATAATTTCTGATGTCTTTAATTTGTCTTAGCCCAAGGCAGACATGCTCCTCGAGCAGCAGGCAATCGCTCGCCTAAGCCGCAGCAATTTTTATTATGACAGCAACAATAAAAAAATAATAAAAAAAAAAAACAGAAGGAAATATATATATATATATATACATATATTTGTGAAAGAAGTTAGAGGAATATATAAACGTGGCCAACAAGTTGTACTACAAATTTTTGTGGTCCATTTTACAAAATGAAAAGTTAAGAGCAGCAACAAGCATGAGAAAATTTATGTAACGTAAAAAATTTTTGATGATGTCCTTAAATCAAAATTTAAATAAATTTTCTAAAATAAAACAGTGGTGGTACCATGCGAGGGGGGGGGGAGGGAGGGGGAGGAGCGTACGTGGGCAGCAGCGAGTCTTTGCCTCGAAATTTTATTCCTCTTTTATATTACTTTTTGCCTACACATATTTCGTATTTATTTTACTTTTCGCTTTGCTTTTTCCTTTTTTATTTTACCACTCTGAATTTATTTCTGGCCCACGATTATTTGGCATTTTGCATTTGTGCCCCTCGATGCTAACCGCCCCCTTGCCACGCCTAATCATAAAACTTGGACCTGCGCTGGCCAAGGCAAAATGCAAAAAAAAAAAAGGAAGGAACATGAAGAAAATCCGTTGTCTCAACCGAAAGTTGTAAAAAGAAAAGTAGCTGAATAAAAATACATGACCTCCTCATACATATATCATATATCACTGCAGATTGCTTGGGCTTTGCGTGTTTATGATTTCCTTTTCCTGCTGCCCCTCCTGCTTGCTCCACATTTCCCCCAGCTATAATTTTCATATAATACGAAATATAATTGCATTATAAAATTGTTGTGCGCGCTTGATTTGTGGCAGAGTATACCCATAGATTCTGCTTATAAATGAGAGGCTAAGGCTTAAGTTGGATAAGCGTGATAATTGTAAGGTTTTATTTTTCGTAATAGGAATCTACAAGCAAAGAAAAATGTATTTTACCCATTTGTATATTACATGCTTTCCGAAGCTCTAAAATGTAGACATCTTAAATGATTTTCGTTACACGACTTCTACAACGTTCAGTCGTCCAGATGTACTTGAATCATAGCTCAAGAATGCAAAAATATTTCTGCTTTTCGGGTTCGATTTGATGTGTATAACAAATAAAATTGCAGGTTTAAATATTGATTATGGATACTTGTTGGTAAATTATCGGTTGCAATAAATTTGTTGTTTGTATTTCTTAAAAAAGAATATGTACATTTGTATTACGAGCAAGTGAGGATATGTTAGGCACACCGAGGTATTAATACCCTTGTAGACAATTCCGTTTTGAAGCCCGAAACTTTAATGAAAAAAATCTTGAATTCCCTTGTTTGGCAGCATTATAAAGTAGTAGTCTGATATTAATAAGATTTTGCAGATATATGATGATCGTTGTTGGACTAACAAATGCTGAAGTTGGTCAAAATATCTTAATAAATAAAAAGAATAAAAAAAGGACAGACGGACATAGTTATATTTCTCCATCTAGGCCTTCTACAAGGGTATAAAGAAGCAAAATAAAATTATGGAAAACAGAAAAAGATCAAACGTAAATAAGGAGAATTATAAAGCTTAAAAAATATGTTAAAGTTTTCGATTTGAAATTGTGAACTGTGAATATTCTTTGAGTTTGGTTATTCAATTCGACAATCGACAATTCGACAATTGAATTGAATTGAAAATCTTCTTTGTAATACCAAAAATAGACTTTCCGCAAGAGGCTCATTACTATTTGTTGATCCAACTGCTAACGGCATGAAAATCCCCACTCGATTGCTATTTATGAAGGCGCTTAAAGGACACACAAGCACTCACACACACACATACAGAACACTTTACGAATGGGGGGTATATACGGTTCATTTGCGTAAGAGAACCGCATATATAGAGTCCACTAGAGTCCACTATTATAGTCGTAAATATAACCGAGCTCGGGCACTTCAGAAATCGAGTCAATGACTCATAAAAATGCCAAAAATGTGCGCCCAGCTGAGTAGTTTGTTGGGCGGCAACCACAGGAAGGGTCCTTCGGCTTGGTGTATCCTTGAGCAACACGCTCGCTTGTTTATGTATATGTATTATGTATCTACATTTTTTTTTCTGCTGCGAGCGTTGCAAAGCGTTGAAATTTTGCGAGCTTATCATATAAAAAACATAAAATTTGCATAATAATATTTTGAAATGTGGCCTTATGCCAGTTAGCGGGCGGCGGCGGCGGCGGGGAACGGCAACGTGTGGCCGTGAAGTCCAGCTGCGGCACATCCTTTTGGCCAACGGGCAAGTGCTCACATATTCGCATATCCTTTTATGCTGATGATGAAGTGAAAGTGTTGTGAATTATGGGCATTAGTTGCGAATGCGCATGAAATTGCCTTGTTTGGCTGAGTGGGTGGGGCGTATGGGTGAGTGCGGGTGGTAGTTAATGGACTCGCATAATCTTGACTATTGCTGGGATTGTCAACTGGGACCTGAACAACGGCAGCTGTTGATCAAGTGCCACGGATAAGCGGCACATCCTTGATGTTTTTTTATTGTTGTTGTTGTTTTTTGTAGTGCAAACATTTGAGCTGCTTCTAAATGCAGTGATTTCCACAGGCAAGGATTAACTTCTCACCAGCTGTGGTTGCCAGACGGCGCCAGGACGACAGCCAATCGCCACGACACGCGACTCGCTGCACGCACGTCTCGCTGCGCAAACAAGGACCAACACACACACACACACACACACACACACACACACACACACTTAGAGCGCGAGCGGAAGGATTGGCGCGCCCTGTGTCAATAAAAGTCTACGCATTATCCTGGCAGGTCTTCGGTATTTTCTATTTATTCTTTTTTTTGTGTGCGCCGCCGCTCGTGCGTGTAAAATCATTCGAAGCGTCGTCAATCAAAGTGAAAAGCGCTTTTCACCCACCCACACCCCTCGTCCGCTACGGCACGCTCAGCACTTGATGTTATCCCTGTTGACAAACACTCAACGCATCTTAACTCATCAGACATGCAGCAGCAGCATTCGTAATGCCTCCTTCAACGCTTTTCCCCCTGATTCATGACAGCAAAATGCACATTTTGTTTATTTTAATTAGTGAGCGCAATAAAAATACCAAACGGCGTTATGAGGAGTTGATTTTTTCAAGTTCCTTAGCAGTTGCTTAACTTTTAGCCAAGAAATTGAATTCGTCTGACGCTAAGGGTAAGTTCTCTTTCACTCTCTCTGTCTGTCTTTATGTCTCTCCATCTCTCTCTGTCTCTCTCCCTCTCTCTCTCTTTATTCTCTGAATCTGTGGATGGGTCGTTAAAACAAACGCAGCAGCTAAATTAGCCAGCCAGCTAGGTGAGAGGAGTTTGACTTTTAAGGAGGTTATTAAAGATGCAAATGAGAAAAATCGTATGCCAAATGAAATAAAAAATGCGCTCGTGAAATAATCAAGTTGCAGACAGCAAAAAATGTGAATAAAAAACAAATAGGAAGAAAAGAATAAATGGAAAAAATCCATAAACCCATTTGGAGAAAGCTGGTCTGATTAAGAAGATATCGCTAACACGGTCAGCAATGGGAATTTAAGTCAAGAGTAATCGATAAAAGTTTATAAAACAACTGTGCATTAACTACCAGTTTATTTCTACAAGATTTTTAACATAGTAAAAATGGGACGTTATTAATCAATAATTATCGTTTGTCAAGAAATAATCGAAATATTATATATCAATTTACTAACTTATCTCAGTGGTTATTTTTTCAAAGAATTATTATTACTAATATTAATATTTGTATTAGACTTGTGTTGGACTCTCGATTAAAGTATCTTTTACCTAGTACTATAAATTCGATACGCAATCAGGTATGAATCATAAAAATGTACTCAAACAATCAGGAACTACATATTTGTCATGTTTGAGTCACAAAAAAGGAAAACATTTATTTTTTAATAATACATGCAACGTCTTCTCCGATTGGCATAATGGTAGCGAACGGAGCATAACCCACAATGTTTACCTTGATGTACGTATGGCTAAAGCAAATCTAAACACAAGTATTTTATATGTACTTACAAACTACAGACCCATACAGATTATGCCACCAGACCGGAGCTAAAGCTGAGCAAACGCAACCGAAGCCCGTAACTGAAAGCTAAACCTGCCAGATCTCATACATATAAACATGCGATTGTGCGGGCAGAGCCATACAGATGTAAATGTTTATGTTTCCTGTCCAACGCGAGGGTCCGGGGAGAGCGGGAGTTGACTGGGTTATCTTGGCGAACTGCTGGCACAGTTTGGTTATTATCATTTCATATGTTTTTGCTGCATGCGAGTTTTTTTATTTTCACAAAAATTATTATTTTACATTTGGCAGCGTTGCCACACTTTTTAATAATTTATTAAACGAGATTTTCTTTTATTATTTCTTCGCTTAAGCAGGAGTGGAATGGAGATAGTGTAGAAAAGAGAACGAGAGAGAGAGAGGGCAAAGGATAGAGAGAGCGAGAGCAGTGAGAAGAAAGACGCACAACACATGGACGCTTGGGAGTGGAGAATTTGTGCAATATTTTTAATATTTATATGGCAACCACACAAGCACACAAATCATCAGCAGGCGACGGCAGCAGAGCAACACGACCAAGAAAAGGATCCATGCGAACAAAAAAATTCCTGTAAATAATAAATTTCTGCACGCTACAGCAGCAGCAGCAGCAACAACAACAATAAAACAACAAGAGCAGCAGCGAAAAGCGCGGAATTATAAACCGTGGAAAACTATTACCCCAAGGATGCTCAAATCCAAATACATACACACAGATACACACACGAGCACACACAGATGCAACGATACAAATACGGTTACGTGCTTGGCGGAATATTGCAAAAATATTGCAACAACAAAGATGCAAACAGAAGCAAATGATTAACGACGTGAACTCACTCGAAGCCCCGATACCCTTCAAAAGAATATATTAGAGATAAACTTGAGCAACGCGGCTTAGAAAGGAGAAAAGCAAACGAGAAGCAAAGTAAGAATCGCAGAGAAAAGCACAAGTACGATAAGTAAAGCAAGCAAAATATTGTAAAGCACAGCGGGAAGAAAAGAAAATCGAGAGGAAAAGTGAACCAAAGGGAGAAGCGAAAAACAAAGTGAGAAGCATTGCGAAAAAAATGTGAAATTCATATCGAGAATAAAGGAAACAATCAAACCGAGAAGCAAAGCGAGAAGCAGCACAACAGTCCCTTTCAACAGATGTTCCATCTGAAGCTAATAACCAAGCTTATCACGATGATTGGCTAGCGAACAGGATGCTCTTTTTAATATACCCTACAATTGCATGTAAGTAGCGTTACATTGAGGGACTTTCAGTTTTTTCTCGCCAATATTCCCGCTGATGAACTTTTATGTTGGTTACAAATACAAAAAAAAAGTGAATGTTCGAATATTCATTCATATGCAGACAACAGCGGCGCCCCTACCAATACCCTATGCCTCTGATGCACCCCTCTTACCCGTCCACCTGCTACTAGTTAACTTGCAGTTCCAGCAGCAGTTGACTTATGTGCGTGTGTGTGTGTGTGTGTGTTCGTGTGTGTGTGTGTGTGTGTGTGTGTGTGCGTGTCGTATGCAAGCACCATGCATATTTTTTAATTGAGTGCACGGGGAATTGATTGTCAAGGACGTGAACGTGGTCCTGACTCTGAGCTGTATAGAGCTATGTGTTGCAGGTTGAGAGAAGGTGTGTTGGCCTGTTTGGCTGCCGTTACCGTTACCTTTTAGCAATTTGCTTTTGTGTATGTGTGTGTGCACTATGAATAACAGCACTTGACTTGGTTCGTTTGTTCCTCTCTTCGTTTTTATATTGCCATTTTTTTGTGGCTTTCATTCTCTGCAATGTGCAAATAATATGAGTACTTTAAGAGCTTCAGCTGCATCCAAGTGGATTCCATGGCTATAACTTGGTGGTGAATAAGAATGCTTGAACACAATTTGAATATGCGGGGGTACTTGAGTGTATTACCCATATGGAAATGATTAAAAGTTAATTTATTTATTAGCTGTTCCATTGTTACCGAGTGATACACTCATCATGAAGCAACTGCAAATAATGCCAAAGTCAATTTTGTACTGAATGAATTAATTATTGCCCATCAAGAATTTGAAAAATTGCGATTTATATGTTTAGATATTATTTTGCAATACTAAACAATATGTTTAATTTAAAAGTCCTTAGTAAGATTCAAGCTTTGAATCTCGAGCATGATTAATATAACTTCATATTTACCGAAAAAATAATATATTTACTTCGAATCTGGGTAAAATGAATATATGCAACACTCTTTAGGACGCATTTTGCAACACTGCACTGTCCGACAAGCTCATGATACGCCCAAGTAAAACAACTTTAAGCCTTTTATAAAACTGAAAGCATTGCAGATCTTAAACTGTGGATAAATTCCGAGAAAATTTCACAGGATTGAAACTCTGTGTGTGGCAGAAACACGCTTTGTGTCGATCTCCTTGTTGTCCATCTCTCTTCGTCTTTCCTCCGTTCTCAGCCCGCTTTTGTTTTGTGCATTTCCGTTGCATGCTTCTATATCCGGTTCACAAATAAGCGAATACAACAAAAGGCTCGCTTGATATATGTAGGTAAACCAGGAGTAGCAATATGTGTTTATTAAAATAAAGAAGCAGAGGAGGCTCAGTTAGTGCATACTACAAATCCGTTTGGGAGGCAAACTCTTCACTAATGTATCATATAGCCATGGTCCCCAACTAAAATCCCATTCACTTAGCAATTTGCAACGAACAGCGAAACAAACTGCGAATGAACTCAACTCAACCATTTGCATTGCTGGGCGAATAGTTTGTTAGCTTTTCCTTTTTTCTTCTATTTTTTTTTTTTTTTTTTGCTTTTCGGCCATGCACCGTTATAGTCGCCATTTTGTGTTCGTGTTACAGTTACGCAGCGGCAACGCGCGTTGCAATTTCCGTTTGCCGCGCCATATAAATAAACATTTATTTTGTGTGCTATTTCCCACACATGTCAACTACCGCAAAAATATCGTACTACGCCCCTCCACACACCCCTCCACTCTTCTTTACCAACACTCCATGACACTCTGCTCTGGTTTATTTTTCAGTTTACCGTTAGTTTAATTAATCTTAATTCACGACTACAACAGAAGCTGCGCCCCACTTCACATGCACAGATTTTATTTATGGCCAATTCAAAAAAAATATATAAAAAAAAGGAAGAAGCCAAAAGCAGAAGATGGCTTAGATTAACAGAGTTCGACTCGTACATACCCTGTACAACGTTTTTGAATAGCACCATACAGTAAAACTCTTGTACACCAAAATCCTTAAACAATATTCCATCAAGCTGAGCCTTTTAAACTCATTCAGTAAGCTGATGTTTTGTACCCATAAAAAGTATATAAATGTTAAAACTTCACTGGAATCGTTTATCAAAAATCCGCTTTGCATATGTCTTAATGTTGTATCGCACATCATGAATAAAATTGATAAGCTTTTAGTTTTTGAACTAAACTTTTTCAGCCGTGTAAAAGCTAATGAAGAGTCGACTAAGTCGATTTTGAATCAATTTTAGACATAAATGCAAATATTTTGCTGTTTCTTTGTGATATCTCCCACATATTTGATATTCAATTCAGTTGAATTTGGTTCAATTTTGTTATGCGAACCGCAAAAAAATCACTAAAAAATTCCACCAAAAATAGATAAAAACAATGTAGCCAAATATATATCAAACAAAAAGAACCTTTATTTTTGATGGTGCTTCATGGCCAGAATGCAAATATCGCATAAATTGAATTATTGAATTATTTTTGACTGCGTTGCATATTGAAAGACTGCCACGCCCACAGTATTGTATGCGCACTCATATTTGCATATAAATGGGGCGGGCAAATGGATTTATGTATACTATTCACAAATAAACATCGTGTGCGATTCGCGTTTCGCTTTTCAAATACTGTTTGATGTCTTTGTTTACAGCGCAAACTAAATTTTATTTTCGCATTTATTAGAAATATATCCAGCGTGTTTTTTTATTCCTTTCACTTTAGCGAACTTTCTACTTCCGCTTTGCCACCGTGCGTTACGCCATATAACAAACACTAAAGGTAAGCGCAGGAATATATAGCAAAAATAGCTAACACTTCAGTTAAAAAGGCTGTGACAGTGGCCTTTTTGCTAACATTTGAGAGATTTAGACATTCATTTAGAATAAATAACTAAATGCAGTTGCTTTTTTGTGTAAATTCTTTGCATATGTTTCTGATTTAAGTCTTAGATTCAAATAGGTTAATTTTTAGGTAACATTTGCTGCAATTTTGACACAAAGGTTGTCTTTATGGAGAATATAAATTAGAGTTTGGGTAAGTGCATTAGATAAAGCCTTTGCGACAAGGCTTCATTTCTTTTAATGAAGCTTATAATTTATAAACAAATAAGTTTTTATTAAAGATATAAGTGTACCAATCCATTCATAGTTAATTCCCCACATATCTTATAGCTTTAGTCTCTCATCCCAACTGCTGTCAGGCAGCTTCTAATTTTAGTCAGAGTCGAAAGTCTTTAAATGGAATTTAAGTATATATTTGCAAAGTTCATTTTCCAATCTTTCATTTCAGGCATTATTCAGTTCAGGCAGCTTTTGACCTAAAAGTCCAAATGAATGTGTCCACGTGTTGGGTGTCTTTCATTCATTTTTTTCCAGCTGCCATCAATGCAATTGGTTTCGTATCGTGCCTGCCAATAATTGAGTTAGGATTTTCCCAAAACTCCCTCCCCATCCCCACCACGCCAGCAGTGTGGCCCTATCCTGCAGCTCATCTCGTGCGTATTCCCTTTGCCTGTTCCCAGTGCTGATTAGTCGTGCAGCTCCCGCGTCAACCTTTGCGTGAGCTGTCAAAGTGACAACTGAATTGCAGCAAAAAGTTTACGCTAACCAATGAAGACAGTGCTCCCCTCCCCCCTTTTCCACAACTACTTTTCACCCACAGCCTTTTTACATTCACTCCAGATACGTCGCCACCCCCTTGTCGTTTAGATGTGTGCCCACTTGGAACAACGCAAAACTGTCTCTATCTTTATCCTCAGCTTGGAACAGACGATTGTTTCCCATAATATATTTTCGTGCCGTATGAATTTTGAGGCCACATCCCGGGTGTATTTTGGCACGAATTGTGCATCTTCTTCCTCATCTTTGTTTTTCACTTGAGCTGTCAGTCAAGACTTGCCAGGGTGTGTGCGTGCGTATGTCTGTGTGTGTGTGAGTGCTGCAAACGTGTGGTTTTTCAGGCTAGCCGAGTTTTTTTCCCGTGGTTGTTTTGGTTTCTTTTTTTTTTTTTTGACAGCTAAATGCAGAAGAAACAACTTCGGTAGACTCTCTTCCCGCCACTCAGTTGTCAAATGCTTCTGCACTTGCTACGTGTAATCCCCACACACAGCCCCCTCTCCCTTGCCCGGCACGAATGCTTTTAAAAAATATTTCTTAGCAATTTGTTTGCCAAAATGCTGCACAGACATTGAGACGGCGCCGAGGCAAAGGCAGAGCAGTAGCAGGAGCTGAAGAATAGGATGAAGCCCAACAACCAGCACCAAAAATGACGCTAATGGAAGCCACTGTCATTTGCCTAGAGACCAGAAGCGATATCGGTGGGTAGGCGCGGTGTGGTTGGCGGGAGTGGGTCTGCTCTGGGTAGGTGTTCTACTCCCTGACATGCCCTGGCAGTTGTGTCATATGCGTTTAATAAAAACGTGTGTGTGCACTGCGTTAATTGAAGCTGCCTTACATTTACTTCTTAATATTCTTTTTTTTTCTACCTCTTGACAGCTGCCAGTGTTGCAAAGTAACTTTATTTGTCTTGCACGAAAACGCTGACATGTTATTTACCATTGTCAACAGGACTGGCATCTGTAGATTGCAACAACAGTCAGTTTAACACCTTATACCTTGGCTTAGCTTGCAGAAATGCTAAAAATAAAAATAGAAAAAAACTTGTTTTTATAAAAGATGCTTTTTAGCATATGGACATCTAATTTATGACTGAAAATCCATACCGCTAGTCGCATACCGCATTTTACATTTTAATATTAAGTCCAAATGCAAATGTTCAAGGCCTGATGTTAATTAACATTTTCTATGCTAAACAGCTGCGTATCTTTCGCGCCGTGGACACATACGTGGACCGTATGAGCCAAAAACAATAGAAATAATGTGTTTATATTGTCTTTGGTATGGGGCAGATGTATGTTATGTTTCCATTGAACCTGGAATCTTAATAACTTATATTTAGATGTGAACAAATGATGTAATGTTAATAAGATTTCAATATTCAAATAAAACGCTGTGAAAAACTGCGTGTTGGATTTAGAATTATGTTATTTGTTCTGAATTTGATGTAAAATGATATTAATAAAAAATGAATGTAAAAACTACGTACATGTGTTTTTACACTTGGCATCGAACAAAATTCCATACAGCTGTTTGTGTTCCATTAAAATTCAGTAATTAACAAGCACTTTTTCCATCCGCTCGCTTCTTGATGAACATAATACCAACTTATTTATTATTCCATAGCATATGCTAATGAACCATTCACACTTGCAACGTATTACAGCTAACCAGCACAATCTCGTCCAGTATCCACGACCACTACCAAAGTCTCACCCACTGAATTCATGTGGACTTTAGTCATATGCAACCCGATTGCGTCTGTCAGCTGCTTTGCATATGCCTTGCATTATCCTGCCAGGGGAAATGGTAGACGTGATCGGATTAGCTATTTTATTAGAAGCTCTAAAATATATTCTATATAAAAATGTATATATGAACATGTTCTTGTGCCCTCGTGTTCGAGTGAAAATTGAAATACGTTTTATTTATGTAATATTCAATAAAGCAACCTAAACCGTAGAGCACACGTAGTACATGTGTGTATGTTATATGTTTTTTTTTTTCGTTCTATTTCTATTCTATTTTTTAAAGAGAAATGATAAAAAGTTATAAGCGCACATGTGGGGCGCTGCTAGGACACCTTTGGCTTTGACTTTGACAGAGTCAGGCCATAGATGCAAGTGGTTGGAGTTCTAGCTGGAGTCCAAGGGGTGAGCAAAGGGTGAATGTAGAGTACAGGAAAGGCGCTTATGTGTGCGTTGCATAAATGAATGAATAAGTGAATCACTGAGAAGCTGACTAACTAACTGACTAGCTGACTGACTGACTGGCTGACGAAACGAATGCATTGCGGGTCTTTTGACGATTCAATCACTTGAATAATGCCAGCCACAAATTCAGCTAACTGCAAATGTTCAATACAATTTGATTATGATGGAATAGAGGAGGCGTCTTAGTATGGGGCATTTGCAGGTATGTGTGTGTGTGTGTGGGTGTGTGGTGTATGTGCATATGGTCTGTGCACTTGATTGAGTGCCTTGCCATGGCATTTGAGTGGCTTTAAGTGCCAAGTAGCGTCAACGAACAGCTCTCTGAATGCGAAAATTGCATAAATGCATAGCACTTTTCAGCGATTGCGATTTCCATTTCGAGCCACCCTGTGCAACTCATGTGTTAGCTGTAAGTTGTTGTTGTTGCTGTCTGTTTTCAATATTCAAAACAGTTGCCCATATGCAAACGCTTGGCTACAGCCCTCCAGGGCAAGAGGACCAGAGCCAGGACCGAAAACAAATGCACGCAAATGACCCAAGCTCTGGACAGAGTTTGTGGCCCTTGGGGGCAGCTCGCCAGATGAAGGACAACTAGTTAACAGCTAGAGGGGGAGGGGCAGTTAAAGGGGTAGGCAGTGGAGCGTGTGTGTGGAGCGCAATCAGACAACAATTGTTAATAATAAATGCATAATTTGCAATTGGATTTTGAATGTTTTTGCAAGTATCTGAACGGAACGGGTTGATTAACGAGCCAAGAGAGTGAGAGGAGAGGGAGAGGTAGAAAACTTGAGCTTGAGAGGTGGGAAATGAATGTAATTGATGTGAAAATATAGTATGTGGCATGTGGCATGGCCAGAAGCTGCACGGAACAAGTAGCAAGAGAAACGACTTAAAATTCATGGATTGTACAGAGAAGGGTTAGGGCTCAGGCGGGAGGCAGCTTGATAAATGAGCTAAGGGAGGAGCTTGGTTAGTGGAAGCTCAACCATAAATATATGAATATGCATATTGGAACTTTGTGTTCAGAGATTCTTATGATTCGTTAAAGGATTAAAGATCAGGCAGAATATGAATAGATTAATGAGCTAAGAAAAAAACGCCTAAGGAAAATGAATATACGCGGCAAAAGTGCAAAGAACTTCTTGAAAAAGAAAAGACGAGAAACTAAGAATATCATCGACAAGCCAAGGATTTAAAGTTGTAAATTTTGTAGGTGCTGATTTTTTTTTTTTAATAGAATATTTTGACAGACAAGAACTCATTTTTCGATTCCTATACTTCCTATAGAGCTATATAAGATGGTTTTTCGATTTTGATAAGACCTGTCACATATATAAGCAACATTGAATTGAAATAGTAATTGCCTAGTTTAGTCAAGGTTTAATGGTACACAAAATATTTTACCCTTTTTTACTTTCGACCATTTGTCCCTATGACAGCTTTATGACATAGTGGTCCTATCCGGCCGCTCCCAACCATGTACTGTCTGCAACAGAAGGACGGATAGATCGCATAGAAACATACAGACGGGCAGACCGAGTTGGAATTTATATGTAGTTTATAGGATCGGACATGTTTTCTTTTATGAGTTACATATTTCCTGACATAATCATAATACCCTTTACAAGGATATCAAAATAAAGAAGAGAACTCTTGCTTTAAAGGCACTAGTAGCTTGTTGAATATGTTAAATGGCCTTAGTCGATGGGCAGAATATTATTTAAAGATATGCAGAACTCTATAAATTATAAAATAATTCAATTTCAAACGACTTGGAATGAGGCAGGTGTGTCCTTGCCACAGCTCGAACCGGTTTTGCAGTGCAACTACCGAAGCGTTAACTAATTATGTGGCTTATGTATTCAATATATACATTTTTATTGCTTTCGATTAAAAAGACATCAAATTTGAGTAGAAAATAACGCGCAAGCCCAAAACTTTATGGGAAAAAGGAAAGAAATGGAAGGGTAGGGACTGGCTGGGGCTGGGCAGGGTCAGGCCCATAAAACTTACATATGTAAAATGCTCAAATTAACTTAATTAGATGGCAGCGCATGCAAAAGGCGTTGGTGCGCTACTTTTGTTTTTGTTTTTTTTTTTTTTTTTTAAGGTAAAACAGCTGCCTGGGACAAAAATTAGAGTTGGCCCAAAAGTGAAGGTATTCAGAAATGCGGCTCGCACCTGCCGGAACCTGGCCCAGAAAACAACGACAACGACGAAAATATCGGTTAAAAGAAAAACCAAAGCAGCAAACTGGCCAACTGGCCGCGCTGACACGCCCACTCCAAAAGTCGAGCGCAATTATTGTGTTAGTTGTTGTGTTGCTCATTAAAATTGATGTCTTAATTTGAAAAGTTTTACATGCAGCAGCAGCCGCAGCAGCAGCAGCAGGACACGCATGCACACACAGCCGCACAGGGGCACAGCGTGAGGCACCCTGTAATTAGGCGCCGCGGCATGAGTAAACCCAACTGGCTTGAAACCCTACGAATTCCGAAATGAAATGAAATTGTTAACAAATGAATTTTACCTCAAAAATTGGCTCGCGGGCAAAATGCAAGAGGACGAGGCTGTGGCTGAAGCTGCTTCTGAGTCTACAGACTAAAACAGGAGCTGCGTTTGCTGCTGCTTCTGCTGTGAACCAGTTAAATGCAAAGACAAATAACGTGAAATGGACAACAACATTTTGCCTTTTGATTACGCGATTGGGCTGCTGCAATTAGAGCCCAAACCCGAGCCCGGCTCCGCACTGGGCTAAGCTGAGAGCTGAGTTGGTGGGGCGTGCGCGTTCTGATGAAGTTGTCAGTGGATTGGGCTACCGTTCGTTCGGACGCGTCTTGCCACAGGCACTCCACAATTGGTTTAAGCCAGCCACAAGAAGCATTTTGACCAACGCCTGCAGCTGGTTAAAATGATTGTGTGTTGGTTTGTTGAGCAGCACCTTGAAAATTATAAAATCAAATCGATTTAGATTTCAAGCTGTCATAAAATGCTATTAGGCGAATTCCTGATTTAAATGGTGAAACGCTTTAAATTTCTTGATTGCAACTACAAATTTAACAATGTCTATGTAGCTTGAAGAATAAATAAAGACTGTAAAGTAAGTTTATTAAGTAAGTTTCAAACCAGTTTTAGTGTGTTGGAAACTTAGATTTGAAAAAATACATAAAAAGCTTTTGAAGAATGCAAAATAGTTTCTCTCAAGAAATCGGATTTAAATAAGTCATAAGTCCAACTATGTTCTCGATTTGAATTTGACTCTTTTTAAATGCATTACAAGCCTAAAATATATATATATACCTAAACAGAATTCAGCGCACTGTCTCAAAGTTTATTTTGCGTCATTTTTTATATTTTAATCATATATATATATATGCAATATTTACTTTAAAAATATCTGATCGATTTGATTCATATTTAAATGAAATTTGATATTTGTTACAAAATTTAAATTTTAAAATAAATGACGCAAGGCTAGTAAAGGCAACAAAAAACTGAAAGACAGCCAGGATCCAGTTTCCCGTAACGCGTACCCCGTACTCTGTGCCCACATATATCTCACATCCTGGCTTTGATTCGCTTCAGCATTCGCCATGACAGTGGCTGACAATGCAGAAAAGGCATTGTCCTTGTTCTTTGGCTTATCCAGGTAGTCCAAAAACTGCTCAACGTATGCATTTTGTCAGTTGGCTCGGACATCCCTGTGAGATGCTTCCCCTTTATACTGAGCTTTAGTTACGCTGCTTTGATTTTAGATTATTGCCGGGCATTTGACTATCTGTTAGAGGAGGCAACTCTTGTGATATAACAACGTAATCTCCGCCGGACATGGACAGCTGTTGGAGTTGACAGCATGCAGCTGCCCTGCCGCTGTTGTTGTTGTTGTGCTCATGGTACTCTAAGGACTCCCAGAGGACACGCTACTAATCACGAGTCGTTGTCGCTGTTGTGGCTGTTGTCACTTCCTAATGAGAGTGCAACATAGCACCAAATAAAAGAAAAACTGAAACTCATAGACTCAGGCAACAGATTCATGTGTATTCTGTTGTCCTGGCGTCACCAAGTGCCAGACACTTGATTTCCCAGGCCGTATAATTTTATGCGCGCGTTTCGCAGGCGTCAAAGTGTCAACTGTCAAATGCGTCGCGATGCTTCAACACTCAACAAACAGCCCCGTCCCCGAGCAAGGTCGTCAGAACGGCCCAGACATGTCTGCTGCCTGGACAGACGGCGATTGTCTGTCTGTCAGCTAGAAATCGGACTCCAGCGACAACGACTCGTGTTTATATTTAAAGTGTCAGCACAACTGGCAATTGGATAGGATACATCCTGTCAGGCAGTCGCACTCAACTGCTACACTCAGAGGAAAAACGTATTCAAAGAATTTGCTACTCCAACGTCTACTAGAAATGGTATCAAGCCTACACAACATTTCTACGGAGGAAAAGCAAAAACCTCTTAATACCAAATTTACTATATATTATCTAAAAAATGTCTTACTTCCTTAAAGAATATTTAAATTATGTTTATTTAAGAAAGACATATTTTGTATGTGATCAAAGTTGTTTTAAAACTACGGAT